AACTTTGATTTAGTCCCTTTGTCAGGGTCAGATCACCGCCTGTTGAGATTTAGACTTACGGCAACTTTTCCCCTCTGCAAGGGTGGGGGAACCATTAAGATAATCCGCCCCCAGAGGTTAATGGATCCAGATGGTTTCCAGAGGTTTTGCATGACATGGCTGGCTCTCCTGTCAAAGCCCTGTTTGCTCTGTGAAATACGGAAATGACCCGGGTGGTTGACACAATCGCTCCTAAGCATCCTCTCTGTTGTACAGCTCATACAGCTCCATGGTATACTCTTGAGCTGAGAGCAATGAAACAAGTTAGGAGACAGCTGGAGTGCAGTTGGAGGAAAACTCCCAGTGAATGCAACAGAAACCTGGTATGTGGTATATTTTGGGTATATTTTGAGGCAGTGAGGGTGGCAAAGAAACAATATCTCACTGCCTTTATTCAATCTTCTCTTTGCCACCTAGCAGAACTTTTCAAGGTTGTCGCGGGATTCTGGCCCTAGCAACACCTTGGAACCATCCTTGGCCCACTATAATCTACTCACTGAGCACTTCCGGGGGGGGGGGGGGGGGAGGGTAGACAAACCTTCGCACAACTATCCCGTCTCCTGAACAGAAATGTGAACAATGTCGGCTGCGTTTATAAACCTGAAAGATCATGGGTACCAAGTGCTTCTCTTCAGCCTCTCCCAGAATTCAGTAAAAAGTGTTTAAAGATGTGTTGCCTGTACACACGGCGAGGTTTCACAGCCCTGGGAAGGGGCCGTGTGAAGCAGGGACCAAGCAAGCCAACGTCCTCCCTTCCTTTTTTGTCTCAGGAACAGGCAGTGAAGAGATGCTGTTGAGCCGTCATCTTTTCAGAGGTCCGGAAATGGCTGCCGCTCCTCCAGTCCAGGTAGGAGAGATGAGCGTTGTGGGATTCTGGGACCCCCAGACTGTTTCCCTGGGACCCTTCCGTTCCCCTTTAGTTCTAGTCTATGTTGGGTGGAGACCAGTGTTCCCTCTAAGCTGAGTTGGTGTGAGCCAGCTCACAATTTTTTAGCCTGCAGCCCACACATTTTTGCCTTCGCTCAGGAAGGAGGGCTCCAGAGCAATATAGTTTACTCAGTAGCCATGTCCCTCTCAACTTTAACGCCAGTCGCTCACAAAGTAGAATTTTTGCTCACAAGACTCCGCAGCTTAGAGGGAGCATTGGTGGAGACTGGGAAGGGAGTGACCGAATCCATAGAGAGAGAGACCAGAGTTCTCAAACAAAACCAGGTTATTTACAATACAAGCTTCTTAAGGACAAAAAGCCCTTTGGTACTTACATATCTTTTAGTGTGAAAACATAACATTTCCATATTCATCATAGAATGTGAAAAGTACTGGGTTCGCCGCATGGAGGACTCGGATGACGACATGCAGTTGCACACGTTTATTGGTACTTAACACAAGACTGAAACAACGGCCCTGCAAGGCCAACTATATACACTCCCGGCCCAGTGCCTCCCACTCCATTGGAGGGTTTGAATTTCCCGCCAAGAAGCCTATTGGACGGCTGGGGGGGGGAACTAGGATCCGAGGTCCCTATTGTCCTGTGGAGCCCAGCTCCTCTCTTTCCTGCGGGCCCCTCGTGGCGGCCTGCATACATAACACCCCTCCCCCCATAGTTCAAACTCTACCTGGGTGACATAGTCCTTCAAGTAGGCCGGGGGGGTTGCATTCCCTGGTAGAACGCGCGGGGGCCGGTGTGGGGACGCTTTCCCCTGGGCCCGGTTGTCCTGTGGGGCCCTTCTGCTGCGGTACTAGCAGCTGCGTTGGTGGCTCGGCTGCCACTGGAATCGTTCTTCCCTCGTCACCCGGGTCCTCTGCGGTGCTACTGGGATCAGGCGGGGAAGTCTCCTATCGGCTCCCGTCGTCCGTGGGAGTTGGCGGGGACGGGTCTGCCTCCTCCGAGGTTTGTCTTCATCGAAGCTGGTCTATATCTTTTTGCAGCAGCCGGCCGTCGTCTGTCGTCACCTCGTATGAGAGCGGGCCCTTTACTTTGGTGACTCGGCCCTCGATCCAGGCAGGCCCGGTTCTGTAGTTCCAAAAGAAGATGGGGTCCCCCGGGAAGAATCCCCTTGGGGCTTCCCGCTGCTCTACCGCCCTCCTGGCCTTCGGTGCCCGGTCTGGGTGCAGGCGGTCCAACAATGTTGTCATTCGGCGGCCCATCAGAAGCTCCGCGGGGCTGTGACCTGTGACGGGATTGGGGGTCGTCCGTTGGGTAAAGAGGAAGCGAGCCAAGCGGAATTCCCAATCCCCTTCGGTGATCCAGCTTAGGGCTTCCTTGGCCGTCCGCACCATTCGCTCAGCCTGTCCGTTGGTTGCGGGGTGGAAAGGCGCCGAGCGGATGTGCCGAATCAGGTTTTTCTGGAGGAACTCTTGGAATTCCCCCGACGTGAAGGCAGCCCCGTTGTCCGAGACAATGGTGTCCGGCAGGCCGTGCGTAGCAAAGATCCGGTGGAGGGAGCGGATCACCGCCTTGTTCAGGTGGTCGAGACGGGGCTGATCTCCAACCACTTGGAGTAGGCGTCCACCAGGAACTGTAGTAGGCATCACCAGGAACTGTAGCCCCTGGAATGGCCCCGCGAAATCCACATGCAGCCGGGACCAGGGCTTGCGCGTGGACTCCCATGCCTGCGTTGGTGCCCTCGGCGGATTGGGCCAGACCTCCTGGCAGGGTTGACACCTCCAGAACCAGGACTCGATCTCCGCATCTATTCCCAGCCACCAAACATAGCTTCGCGCCAGGGCCTTCATTCGAACGATGCCTGGGTGTGCCTCGTGGAGGGCTTCCAGGATGCGCTGTCTCAGGGTGCTTGGGACCACAACCCGGTCCCCCCATCGGAGGCACCCCTTCAGCGCTGACAGCTCATCTTTCTGGGTGCTGAAGGGTGCGAACTCGGCTCCCGGGGACAATGCAGGTCAACCCCTTATCACCCAGCCCAAAACATGGGCAATGAGAGGGTCGCGGGACGACTTGGCTGCGACGTCGGCGCGTGCAGGGGGGCCTCCGGAAGGTCCTCAATGCTCAGGACGCCGAGCGCCGGGGTGGGGTCTGCCTCTGTCCCAGGCAGTGGAAGCCGGCTCAGCATGTCGGCATGGCCCATAGCCTTGCCTGGCCGGTGCTCCAACCGGTACTGATAGCCGGCCAGGAAGAGAGACCACCGGAGCACCCACGGAGACATCACCTGGGGCGTCCGCTTGTCGGATGCCAGAAGGCCCAGCAGGGGCTTGTGATCCGTGGCAATCACGAAGGGGCGGCCGTACACAAAGTTATGAAATTTTTTTACCCCCGCCACGATTGCCAGCCCTTCCCTGTCTATTTGCGCATAGTTGCGCTCTGCGGCCATTAATGTCCGCGAGTAGTAGGCCACGGGCACCTCGCGGCCATCGGGGAGGACGTGCCCCAGCATGGCGCCGACCCCATAGGGAGAGGCATCGCATGCCAGGACCACCGGGAGGGACTCATCGAAATTGGCCAGCACGTCGTTCGAGATTGAGTGCCTTCACCAACAATCAAAGATAACATGGGCTGTGAGAAGAACACAGTGTGATCCTAGTTAGAAGCTTCTAAGAGTAATGATTTCACTGTTAAAGTGTAAGCTTGCTTTTTTCCTCTAAATAAAACACTGCTCTCAGCCTGATCAGCTTCAAGAAATTTCTGTGTGTTGTGTCGTTATTGAACCCTCACAAAGTTAGAATTGTACACGTGCATCAAAAAGCTTCTAAGATTTTACAAATAACCTAACAAATTAGCAGATTGATAAAGGCATGTTCACTTATAAAACCACTTTTTAAAAGACTGAAACTAGAATATGTTTCCTTATAAGATTTGTTCCACTCAGTTTCACAGGCCTGTTTCTGTGTCGCCATGAGATTGTTTGCAGATTGTGTACAAGTAGCATTATTACTTACTTTTCACAATTTCTCTTGGCATTTGCTCTCACAAATGTTATGTTGGTTATCAGTCCTTATTGCCCTTTTGCACACTAGACATTTATAGGTGCACCTTGCTGTTGCTATCTAGCATTAGTAGCCTCTTTCGATACCCAACAAGGTTCAGAACAACAAGGACCATAAAAACATTGGCAGCACCAAGTTAGATTTGGGTCCAGTAGCACCTTAGAAACCTCAAACACCAACAAGATTTTGGGAACATAACCTTTTGAGAGCCAAAGCTTCCTTCATCAGATACTATCTCTGCAGTGCTACTGGACTTCTACTCCAGATCAACACAGCTACCCTCCTGAAAGTATGGTCCAGACTTGTTTGACATCTATGATTTACAGGTGGTATTTTTTAAAAAAGCAATAGAGGCACTTTTCTCACTGTAATACTCCTACTTCTCAAGTAGTGATCCAACATCAGCCCTTCTTCTTTAAAAAAAAATCACATTTGCACAAGTAAATAAAGAAAAATAATATAGGCTGGGATCTAAACAGCTATTTTAGGGGCACTTAGGATTCTATGTGCCGGGTGGGGGGGTTGAAAAACAAAACAGTAGATCCCCATTATTGTTAAGTGAATTTAGGCTGTGAAAAAGTAATCACCATCCATGTGTTGGTAAAACTCCTGGAGAGCATTCCCTCTTTTCTATAGAAGGCTATACAGTTCCTCAGAAAAGAGTAGAATTCCAGTTTTCAGCCAAAGAGTTAAGAACATAAGAAGAGCCCTGCTGGAGGGGGGGGGGACAAGCAGGCAGCAGCGCCCTAGAGGGAGTGTGAGGTTGGCGTAATCCAGCTTCGGAAGAAGCTGAATTGGGCTTTGACCTCCTAGATGAGCACCGCCTCCTAGAGTCGGATTTAACTAGCTTTTGAGCAAAGGGAAACCTTTACCTTTTTAATGTTAACATAAAGCCATTTTTGCTGATCTCAGGAAAAAATAATTAGTAAATATCTTTAAAAATGGTTTGGTTTAGTTGACAAACATTTGTATTTTTGAGCTGTTTTTGTGGTGGTAATATTTCCCTTCTTTTCTTCTAGATGCAAAGAGTCTGGCTGAAATGCTTATGAGGTAAGTATAATTTGTAGAATATGCCAGATTGCTGTTAAGGTAAAGGGAATGGCCCTAAGAACAGTACTGGACCCTCTCCGAATTACACAGCATCTGTTGGGAAAACACTCCATTTGGTATTTGGTTAGAAGTTTTGAAGCAGCAACTGGGTACTGAACCATCCAATTAATTGGTATTTCAGTAGCAAGGTGCTGTGATTAGCTCATGAGTGAATAGACGCATATCCTCCAATGGCACTGTGAATGGGGATGAGGGAGAGAAGGGGTGTATGTCTGGGGCTCTCTGTTCACTCCATGGGGAGTGTTAAACATACATCCTCTTTTGCAGCCATAACATTAAATGATCACCAAGGAGGACCAATCCTTAAGGGAGCAACTTCACCCCTCTTGTCCTCTTTATAGTATCAGCACCATCAGTGCAACAACTATACTAGCACTATCCTTTAGCAGGTGTAAGAGTGGTGCTCTTCTAGTGTAATTTTTTCCCTACTGGTATGACTGCACTGGTGCATTGGGGTTTGAGGTTACCTGTGCTTGCGCATAAAGGACAGCATCATATGAGAGAGCAAGAGGCTCTTAGGTAGCATTGGGGCGAAAGAGATGGTGGAGCAAAAGTATATCCAGAACAACAGCTGAAGGATATTTAACAGGAACCATTGCCCTATGACTATATAGTCTGCTAGTTCATGGATAATTCTAGCATGTAAATGTCAGCAAGTGTTAAAAATTATCTGCATCATTTCCATACCCTTCATCTTGTAATTTATCTGTACAAATAATTGTCAGCGTGAACAGTCTTGAAACTTCATAGATATTGTTTACCAAACACTCTGTGTCTGATATGAATTTGCTACAAGTTTTTGTGACCACACACACACACACACAAAATAATGTTGCTTCATAGCTCATTCCAAGTGTAATTTTCCAGTACACAAATTTTAAAATGAGGAAATAATAGCTTCAGTGATAACACATTAATTGTTTCTTATGTCTGTGCTTAAATGCTACATCAATCACTAGGAGTTAGCACAGGAATGGTGATTGGATTGCTAATTTTTTGCTACTTCAGTGTCCGTAGGACAAACAGCAGAATCTGTTACAGGAGGTGAGCCGCCTTAATGAAATTACTGCTATCTGTATAGAAGCTTGAATAAGCAGCTGCTTGTAAGATGTCCAGTTTCTAGGTTGATCAGTATGCTAAGGTATCATGAGCACGTTAGCAATCTTCCTTCCCTGCTGGCTGGAGGGTTCATTAGTTTTCTGTCTTTAAGAAATGGAAGCAGAGAAGGAGAACTAACAGCTTCATGAGCTGCTTCTGCAAGATGGTCTTAAACATCAGTCTCAAGGGAGGGCTTTTATAATCCTTCATTGTGCTCATCCCTTATTTTTTCTGGACTTCCTGCTTAAAATTAATGCAGTTTGTATGTGAAAGACCTAATGAGAAGACTTGTTAGGATCATCTTTCTGATCAATCTGGCTTCAACTGGACTCTTTACATAGTGCATCAGATAAAAGTAAGTCCAGGGTTTTTGTTGGTTTTTTTAATGTGATGACAACTAATACTTTTCCCTCCTGTACTCTAACCCAACCAGTTCCTCTGGCCGGCCAACAAGTAGGGCACAGAAGCTGAGGCCTTCCCCTGATGTTACCTCCTGGCTCTGGGATTCAGAGGTTTACTGCCTCTAAACATGAAGATTCCCTATAGTCACCGTGGCATGACCATGGAAACATCTTCAGAGAGCACTGGCTCTTCGGCTTGGAAACAGAGATGAGCACCGCCTCCTAGAGTCGGATTTAACTAGCTTTTGAGCAAAGGGAAACCTTTACCTTTTTAATGTTAACATAAAGCCATTTTTGCTGATCTCAGGAAAAAATAATTAGTAAATATCTTTAAAAATGGTTTGGTTTAGTTGACAAACATTTGTATTTTTGAGCTGTTTATGTGGTGGTAATATTTCCCCTCTTTTCTTCTAGATGCAAAGAGTCTGGCTGAAATGCTTATGAGGTAAGTATAATTTGTAGAATATGCCAGATTGCTGTTAAGGTAAAGGGAATGGCCCTAAGAACAGTACTGGACCCTCTCCGAATTACACAGCATCTGTTGGGAAAACACTCCATTTGGTATTTGGTTAGAAGTTTTGAAGCAGCAACTGGGTACTGAACCATCCAATTAATTGGTATTTCAGTAGCAAGGTGCTGTGATTAGCTCATGAGTGAAATAGACTCAAATCCTCCAATGGCACTGTCAGTGGGGATGAGGGAGAGAAGGGGTGTATGTCTGGTGCTCTCTGTTCACTCCATGGGGAGTGTTAAACATACACCCTCTTTTGCAGCCATAACATTAAATGATCACCAAGGAGGACCAATCCCTAAGGGAGCAACTTCACCCCTCTTGTCCTCTTTATAGTATCAGCACCATCAGTGCAACAACTATACTAGCACTATCCTTTAGCAGGTGTAAGAGTGGTGCTCTTCTAGTGTAATTTTTTCCCTACTGGTATGACTGCACTGGTGCATTGGGGTTTGAGGTTACCTGTGCTTGCGCATAAAGGACAGCATCATATGAGAGAGCAAGAGGCTCTTAGGTAGCATTGGGGCGAAAGAGATGGTGGAGCAAAAGTATATCCAGAACAACAGCTGAAGGATATTTAACAGGAACCATTGCCCTATGACTATATAGTCTGCTAGTTCATGGATAATTCTAGTATGTAAATTCTAGCATGTAAATGTCAGCAAGTGTTAAAAATTATCTGCATCATTTCCATACCCTTCATCTTGTAATTTATCTGTACAAATAATTGTCAGCGTGAACAGTCTTGAAACTTCATAGATATTGTTTACCAAACACTCTGTGTCTGATATGAATTTGCTACAAGTTTTTGTGACCACACACACACACACACAAAATAATGTTGCTTCATAGCTCATTCCAAGTGTAATTTTCCAGTACACAAATTTTAAAATGAGGAAATAATAGCTTCAGTGATAACACATTAATTGTTTCTTATGTCTGTGCTTAAATGCTACATCAATCACTAGGAGTTAGCACAGGAATGGTAATTGGATTGCTAATTTTTTGCTACTTCAGTGTCCGTAGGACAAACAGCAGAATCTGTTACAGGAGGTGAGCCGCCTTAATGAAATTACTGCTATCTGTATAGAAGCTTGAATAAGCAGCTGCTTGTAAGATGTCCAGTTTCTAGGTTGATCAGTATGCTAAGGTATCATGAGCACGTTAGCAATCTTCCTTCCCTGCTGGCTGGAGGGTTCATTAGTTTTCTGTCTTTAAGAAATGGAAGCAGAGAAGGAGAACTAACAGCTTCATGAGCTGCTTCTGCAAGATGGTCTTAAACATCAGTCTCAAGGGAGGGCTTTTATAATCCTTCATTGTGCTCATCCCTTATTTTTTCTGGACTTCCTGCTTAAAATTAATGCAGTTTGTATGTGAAAGACCTAATGAGAAGACTTGTTAGGATCATCTTTCTGATCAATCTGGCTTCAACTGGACTCTTTACATAGTGCATCAGATAAAAGTAAGTCCAGGGTTTTTGTTGGTTTTTTTAATGTGATGACAACTAATACTTTTCCCTCCTGTACTCTAACATCCAAAATCCAATTGTTCCATTTAGTCTTAGCAGGCTGTTTGATTGACTATTTTTTAAAAATGTTTTCATTTGAAGTTGGCCATTCTTCTTCCTTTTTCCACAAGGCCAAAGGAGCAACCTGATACCACCTCCACTTCGAACCCTTTTATCTAGTAACATCTGCTTGGCATTCTGTACAGGATACAAATAAGAGTCCTTAAGATCAGGACTCAAGCATCTGCTTTTCTCCATGTCTGTTTTTAAAATCATCCAGCCTGATTAAGACTTCTGGAGAACTCAAAAGCTTGCACAACTTGTTAGGTTCTTTTGGTTGGTCCTTTTATTTTAAAAATAAACATGAATTCTTTTAAAATAGTGTTTAGTTTGTTTCTTTGCTTGGTTTTTAATTTTAATAGATGTTTCTTTTTTGTTTGTTTGTTTTGCATTTAAAAAAAATCCTAGTAAGAATACAAGGACTTCGGATACACTTAACAAGCAACAACAGACTTTGAGAATGCACATAGACATTCCCAGAGCTCAGCTTCTGATTGAAGAGAGGGATACAATGGAGACCATTGGTAAGCTGTGTTGTCCAGAGGCTTTGTATTGCTACTTTTATAGAATATATATATTTGAAAATAAAAAACAAAGTTTATTCTGTATTTGATTGCTGGAGTAATAAAGACATCTAGTAAGCCCTTACTGCAGAATAAAACAACAAACAAACATAACTCAAGGAGAAAACCCTTACTTCAAATTCCAAAAATCTAAGTTACAGGATTTAAATGCATTTGACTTTGAAAGAATGGAAAGTATACTTCCCTACTGATTCACTCTGCTACAGTTGTCCAAGATAGGAAATGGGCCATTTTGTAGGTGAGACCAAGATCTGTGGCACAAGTAGCAAAGAAAATGGTGGAGGTGGCTTGGACACACAGAAAGAATGGGGGAATCAACTCCCCCCCCCAAAAAAAATACTAGGCCAGCAAGCTTACAGCCTGTGCTGCTGGCTCAGTAATGAGGCTCAAGCCAGTTGAGACCCAATCTATGAATTACCTGGTTTGCAAGGCTGCATCCCACACGGCTCCATTAGAAATAGTAAAACCATATTGTGGGAGACAGACCTTTAGAGAAATTCCACTGCCCTGCAGCTATCTGAAGCACAGCCCCACAGCTAGAGAGGTCAAGCATCATTGACTACATCTTAGTCTTGAGGTACCATCTCCATCTATGCCATTTTTATCCCACCTTTCCGCCAGGGAGTTTATTGCAATGTACATGGTTCATCCCTCCTTGAGTTTGTCCTCATAAAAACCCTTTGATAGTAGGTTAGGCTGAGGGAGAGAAAGCTTTGTAACCCTTTGATAGTAGGTTAGGCTGAGGGAGTAGGCTGTGGCTGAGTGGGTCTCCACAAAACCTAGTCCAACATTCTAACTACTATGCAATGCTGGCTGCCAGCATGTATCCTTTAGCTGATTTTTGAGTCTGACACATCATGTTGTCCCTTCTGGCAATTTTGTGTCTGTCTCTCACACAGTTGACCTTGCTGCCAGAACATCCCTACACATTTCTCTTGCAGAGCCAGAATGTTGAAATGGATGGCAGCAACTCCCATTATGTGGCCAGGTTTTTAGAAAAAAATGTGAGCAGAGAACTCTTAATATCTAGCACACCAAAAGGTGCACCAAAGGCAGGGCTCACCTTAACAACAGCTAAATATGAATATGGATTCTTCTGGTACTTCCTGTGTTTGCTTCTTTGTCGGTTTGTTTTTTGCCATGTTCTATTCTGCCCTCCCCCACACCTTTATCCTTGAGTTATCATACCCTGAATCCTGTCTTTGTAGTGCAGATTAGCTACTGCAATTTTGATAAGTGCTTCTGTAACAGGGTGTCTGGTCGCTGCCAAAGTGTTGGTTTTTTTCCAACCTGAACTGAAGTACCTCTTTTGAGCATAGACAAAGTGATTTGTTCATACACTTTATCACCTTTTGGGTGCAAAAAGTATGTTTCTAGTGTTTTATTACATATAGTCATTCATGTTAATAGACTCCTGTCAGTGAACAGGAATTGGTGAGAAGATCATCTTCTACAACCAAGTAAAATTGGAGGAACCCTACCATTGGCAATCTGTGTGAAAGTATATTTAAAAGTCATATTACATTTTGATGCAGGCAATCCTCATGGTTTACACTACTATTAAGAAATTCCAGAAATAACTATGACAATGTACAGAAAGGTTCAATGCATTGTATGACTGAACTGAGCATTTAAATGTATTGTTTGTTCAAGCTGCGTATCACTGGGTGATTCATATGACCTTCTGTCGATTTAATAGAGACTCATCCTAATCATTTTATTTTCTTTGCCTCCTATATTTTCCTCACGTCCTCCATGGGTCCATACTGGGTCCTGCAGATCAAATGTGTGCTGCACATTCCCTGGTTGAAGTTCAGTTTCCGGGCACTGGGACCATGGCATGCTGGGAGAGGAGGCTTAAAATTACCCCCTCTCTGCTGTTTCCTGACCTAAAACAGTTCTGGTAGTTTTTGTTTGCCCCATTAGAAAACTAGTATGGATCCCCAGCACTCTAATAGCAACATCTCTGGACATTTCACGTTTGGAAAATGCCCTGTCGGGGGCATTAAATAGCCCATTTATTTATTTATTTATTTATTCTGGGATTTATATCCCGCCCTACCCGTATGGCTCAGGGCGGCAAACAAGCGGCAAGTGCAGGCCCATGGGGAAGGGTCTGATCTGAATGAGACCTAGCTCATCTGGGGATTGAGTTCCAGGCATGGAACTCCCAGCACACATCTGGCAAACAGGACCCAGGCATGAGTTCCAGTCTTTTATCCCTGTGAGTCTGAAAGATTCCTGTAGTTCACTTGGACAGTGTTTGGGAATTTGAAAACTTAAATTCCAAATGACATCACTAGTTGAACTAGTGCCATTTAATATAAAAAACCCATTAATTTAGTGTTGTTTTAAGTACTAGGCATAGTATTACTATTTGGATTGGCTCAGTTGCAATAAGGAGGACATGCATGCGATTCTTTTTCTTTTTTTTAGAAGGGATTTTTCATATCTGTACATCTTAGAAAATGTATTTCACGTTAAAAGGTCTTCTCCTTTGACAACAAGCTCTTCTTCTCTTCTCTTCTCTCTTCTTCTTCTCTGGGTGTTTGTCAAGATATTGAAAAAAGAGCCATATGCTGGTTTTTAAGACACAGTTATGAACCACATACAAAATGAGACACCATACTCGACATTTTCCTTTTATCGTTTCCTTTCCCCCAGATGATAGATCTACAGTCTTGTTAACCGATGCTGATTTTGGAGAGACATCAAAACAGAAATCATTGACTGTCACTCACACAGTACATTACCAGTCTGTCTCACAAGCTACTGGACCACTGGTAGATGTTTCTGATGCACGGCCGGGAACAAGTAAGTATGAAAGATAATATGTTGCATTGGTAATAAATCATATACATGTATCTATGTATGTATGTATAAAAGATATAGATATATATATAAAATAACAAAGAATTGCCCCCATCTGTGGATATCAAAGTCTGTGGACCGGGGCCACACTGATGCTAAACAGAATCTCTGCAAACTTGGGAGGGACCTCCCAGGTTTGCAGAAAAATATGAAATGTTTAAAAAATACATTGGGGGGGGGGGTAAATTCCTGCCCCCAAATAGAAAAGCATTCTCTGCAAGCCCAGAGAATGCACCTACCTCCTGTGTCGTTATTGGTGGCTTTAGGGGATTCTGGAAACTGCAGTAGCCCAGCAGCAACTGTGGGGGAGCCTGGGAGCTGTGGCAGGCCCAGAGGCAGCTGTGGGGAAGCCTAGGAGGCACCGTGGCTGCAGGGGAGCCCGGGAGCTGTGTGGAGGGCCCAGTGGTGGCTGCAGAGGAGCTTGGTAAGAAAGTGGAGGGGTTCCCCTCTCCTACGAGTTAGAGTTTAAAGCACCGTACATACATTACCTGAAGTAATCCTTAACAACAGCCATGTAAAGAAAGGCCTGTGTTACTATCACCATATTGCAGAATGATGTAGGGAGAGTACTGAGCCTCAGAGAGAGAGTGACCTACCTAAGGCAACACTGTGAGTTCATGGGAGAAGTAAGGCTTGATTCAGCAGCCATCTTGATCACAGCTCATTCTTATAGCTGCATTCTTACAGCTACATAAGCTCACAATTAAAATCAAAATTAATAGTATACCACAATGTTTGAAGGACCTCCTGATGGCACTGGTATTTCTGGCCACTGTGTGACACAGAGTGTTGGACTGGATGGGCCTTTGGCCTGATCCAACATTGGCGTCTCTTACGTTCTTATGTTCTTAAATTGGGGAAAAGATTCCATGACAATAATAGATGAGCCTCTAATTTCTACTAAAGAGAGAGCGAAAGAGAGACCACAATTCAACCTTATGTTTCAAGGCACAAATTCACACAAGATGGCAGCTGCTCTTCTGTGACTGGAACAGTTCCAACATGCAATTGTTAGGTTCATGGAAGGAAAGGATGGTTCTTTCATAAACTTGCTGATCTGACTCTTATGCTAAAGTCCTTTTGGGTTTTCCAGAACTGTCCTGGTGGGCAGTTTATATGTTTGCAATGTGCTTGATCGCACAGTTTTCAGTTTGCTATGTTTTGCTGTTTGTTAATCTGGCTGTTTATGCTTCCCTTCCTATGTCTATTGTGTTCTTTGAATATCTGATTCCTCTAATGTAATTTGCCCTTTTCTCTCTGGCTGCCCCATATCCCAGAATTCTCTGTCCAGGAAGCAAAAGGTTTTGTAATGTTCAGGGCTCTTCTCTCTTGATCTTCATCTTCTGCCTTTTCATTTCCTCATTCTCCATGACCATAGTAATCTCCCTTATAAATAAAAGCCGAATGGTGGTGACACTTCTCTAGAACATTCCACACGCTCCAAAATCAGTTCGCTCTCTGATCTGTCATTCAGAGGGTCTCCCTATCCACTGGCTGCTTTGCCTGAGTCCTGCCTCCAACATTCTAAACATTTTGCTGTTCCTCTCCCCCCCATAGCCAGTCAGAACACAGAGGTTATTTGCATATGCAGCCTCATTGGCCTCTGCCTTGGAACACAGAGGTCGTTTGCATATGCGACTTGATTGGCTTTTGCCTCTAACATTCTAAACAGTTTTGCTGTTCTGAGGTAAAATGTGTCCATTCTCCAGGTGAGGGCTGGAGATCACTCAGAATTACAACTGCTTTCCAGATGGCAGAGATCAGTTCCCCTGGAGAAAATGGTGGGCTCTGTATCCTTATATGCTGCTGAGGTGGCCCCCGTATGACAGCCAATGTGACGTAGCAGTCAGGGCTTCAGAGCACGGGAGAGGCTGCAGGTGTGTGTGGGGGGTGGAAAGCTGAAAACTGAGGGGGAAAGAAAGGTAGGTTGATGATTGGGTGGGAAGGAGATAGGGTTGCCAACTCCAGGTGGGAAATTCCTGGAGATGTGAGGGATGGAGCCTGGAGAAGGTGAGGTTTCAGGAGGCATGGGACCTCAGACAGGTACAAAGCCATAGACTCCACCCTCCAAACCAACTATTCCCTTCTGGGGAACCATCGTTGCCAATCTCCAGGTGAGGGCTGGAGATCACTCAAAATTACAACTGTTCTTTAGGTAGCAGAGATCAGTTCCTCTGCAGAAAATGGTGGACTCAGTGTCATTATACCCTGCTGAGGTCGCCACAGCAAATTGACACTGAGTGTCCAAGGCCGGGGCACCCGCCCAGAGCCTCTTTCTAGAGGCCGTTGTATTTATTTCCACAACGGGCCTTTTTCCTAGCCTTTTATATTGACCACCCCCAGTAAGTGTCTTTGTTGTAATAGTGAATGTTGTGTGAATTGGGTTTGCACAACGTTTCAAGGTCAGGGACTGTACATTTTTAAAGGAATTGTATATTCTTTTTAAAAATACATTTGATTAAAGGTTGAGTGTTCCTATTGTATTATTCAGTCATGACATCCCCTGTGGAACCCCTGCCTCACCCCCCCAAAAAAACCCACTTGCACTGCTCAGACACACACCTCACCTGATAGCTTGAGCAACTAGGGCATCAGCCGCTGCTCTGCAGCAAGGTCATCACTCCTTGCCACTTACTGCTCCCCCTGCTCCCCTGCATAATATGTCGATGGGACACAGCTGCAGTGGTGCTGCATCAAGGCTAGTACCATCTTAGTGCTAAGAATCAAAATGACTTGTTTTGGTTCTTATGGAAAGGCTGCGACATTCTCAAGAAAATGTCACACTGGGGTGGTTTGTTCCTATTGATTTCCCTCCTGTCCCCAGTCCTCTGTACTACTTCATATGTCAATTCTCTTTTGTGGGATTTACAGGGCGATTCAAAATCCTGTTCATTCACCAAACTGAAGTTTTTAATTTTGACAAAATGAAGCCCAGTTTTTCTGATGTTTGGAGTGTTTCCTAGCACTTTGGCGCTGATTATGTACTGCTTACAAAACACATTGCACAATCAATATACAAAGCAGCAGTGGTCGGTCCAGTTGGGGGCTGTCTTTGTTTTGCTCAGCCAGATTCTCAGCTAATGGTTGTCTTTGCTCAGCAGAAAAGCTGGGGCACAACATTCATTGCTCAGCATCTCTTTGTTTTTTTGTGCTGATGATTACCCTAATCTCAAAGAGTGAATAACACAAGGACAGTTTACATTTTTAAATGGCTTTGTAAGTAAAAAGCTGTCAATCTTTCTGTGTGAAGGAATGATTTATGAATAATCCTTATATCTCTCTGTGTGTGTGTGTGTCCTTAGCTCAACGGAACAGCTTTGGCATTTTAATCAAAAAAAGACCAGTCAAATCACATTTTAATAAGTCTGAATTTATATTTTAATTCTATGGCTCCCTATTGTTAGTAATACACTTTTAGACACTTCCAAAGAAAAAATATCTCTCTACTGCTTTTATGTTCCATTCTTTTATTACTGTACCCACACCCATCCATCCCTCAGAAACAAGAAAATAAGGATTACGGGCATCGAGATTTTGGCAAGATCTCTGAAGTACTGGGTCTGGGTTTTTAAAAAAAACAAAAAAAACCCCAAAGCATATTTGATTTGGATGACATAAAATGACCACTGGCTCAACAAGCAAGTTGAATAAAAGGAAACTGAATAATAATGTATTTGAATTTAGTCATCGATTTGAATTCATGTATTTGAATATGGCTTATATTTACTAAGACTATACTCTGCCCTTCTACCCAAATGGAACTGCTAAAAGCCTTACAAGTAGAAAACATCATACAGAATAGAACAGTCCCAAAGACCAAGTATAGAACCAGCCAGCAGATACAGTGCTGGTCTGTACAGAATACAGGCATCAATTTAAATTTTATTTATTTGTTTAAAATGTTTATATGCCCGGCTTTCTCCTGAGCATCTTAGGACCCAAGGTGGGTAACAGCAACATCAAGTAATCTAAACAATCAGCAGCACTGGAGACATTAACAGTACAATCCTAAACAGAGTTACAATCTCCTCATTCCATTGAAGTCAACAGGCTTAGTAGGGCATAACTCTGTTTAGGATGGTGCAGTAAAAATCCTTGGTACACTTCTAGCTCTAAACTCATGCCAGAAAACCAACAATGAGGGGGAAAGCAGGTTCTTTTGGCAAAAAGTTCCACAATCTTGTTTAGCTCATCCATCTGCTTATCTAACTAATGGGTTAGATCTTATTGTATATGGAGACAGGGACAAAAGAGTAAATCTCATTGTATGTCAGTGTGTATGTGGCCCATTTTCCTGTTTGGCACAAATCCACACTAAAATTGCCTGTATGCAATGAAGAAATCTTCATTCTGCCACCTCTTAATTGTGTGCTAAATCTGTTGCTTTCTTAGCTTCTACATGTGGCTTAAAGAATGCTCCCAATTGGCAATGACCTGTACAAAGGGTTATAAGGGACCTGTTAACAGGTGAAGCTCCTCTTCAATCTTGGAAGGAATACTGAGTATCTTCTTTGTGGTCTCTGTGCATCACACCTCTGGGATATAGTGCGCCTGCACCAACTCCAATCGGTAACATAGAAAGCGAAAGGGATTTTCGTGCCCTCTCCCCAATCATGCGCCGGGCTCCACTGCACATGACTAAGGGAGGGGCACGACAATCCCGCCAGTTCTCTTCTGACCGCCGCACTAGTAGGATCTTCTCCACTTCAATCGGTAACTTTTCTCTCTGTCCTTCGGGTCTTCTTTCAACTGCTTCCTAGTTAGGGAAATAGAAAATAGTGAATTTGCAAATTGGACTCTTTTTGTTGTTGGTGGTTCTGCTTCGGCAGACTACCTCTGCCCCCCAGCCTATGGCCAAATGGTGGGGCTTCTTCAATCAGTGCTTGAAGTGCGATAGCAAAATCAGACCCCCTGACAGACACTTCCTTTGCCTCCTGTACCTC